GGCTGTCGTGGCAGGGAATTTTCTTAACTCTACAGCGTGCATCCATTCAGGATTTGCCAGGCTCCGCCTAAGCGACTGACACGCATTTTTTCCCTATAACTCTTATCATCACTCTTTGAAATATAATATTGCCGACCCCACTTCACATGAGGAAACTGAGATTACATAACCTGCCCGGGGATAGGGGTAGTGGGGCCGCCTGGATTCCAAACCCGGCAGGCAGATTGCTTCACAGTCCCCGATTTCCGGGCCCCAGGCTCCTCCGCTCTAACAGGTCTGTGTTGTATCTCAGTGGAAGACCTGGAGCGGAACGACGGCTCCCTGGACCGGCCCTACTACATGTCCAAGAGCCTTCTAAAGATTCTAGACAAGAACAACGAGGTGCCCCCGGGCAACAAGAAGAGGAAGAAGTGAGAGCTCCGGCCCTGATCCAGGACTACACCCCACCCCCACCGTCCAGCGTCTAGCCTCACTTCGCCTTATGGATCTCCATTTTGTAGTAAAAAAAGGTTTTAGGCCAGGTGCGGTGGCTCACGCCTGTAATCCCAACACTTTGGGAGACCGAGGCGGGCGGATTACTTGAGTAAGGAGTTCAAGACCAGCCTGGCCAACATGGTGAAACCCTGTCTCTACTAAAAATACAAAAATTAGCCGGGTGAGGTGGCGGGCGCCTATAATCCCAGCTACACGGGAAGCTGAGGCGGGAGAATCACTTGAACCCGGCAGGCGGAAGTTGCAGTGAGCCGACAGCGCGCCACTGCACGCCAACCTGGGTAACAGAGCAAGACTCCGTCTTCAAAACAAAACAAATAAAAAAAGATTTTATTAAAGATATTTTGTTTTCTCAGTAAGTCTGTGAATCGTTCTCTCCACGACTACGCGCTTTTTTTCCCCCGCCGGGCTCTTTAAAATAGGCCCCGCCCCTGTGACGCCCTGGTGCCGCGGCCAATCAAAAATTCCAATACGGATGGTGCGGGGCTCTCCTTCACCCCAGCCAGTCAGCTTCCCGTTCGGGTCACGCGCTCCGGGCCCCCAAGAGGACCAATCGGAAAGGCAAGTTTTGAGACACTGCGTGATCACGTGGGAGGAGATGAGCTGCTTGAAGACCAATTAGAGCCCCGGAAGCGCGGCGGGCCAGCCAGACGGGGGCGGGCTAAAGGGTGACATCTGTGCTTTAAAGGGTCCGGGTCAGCTGACGCCCGACCCTGTGGAGTCTAGCTGCAGGGCTGTCAGCCGCTGAAGGTAGAGATGACCGGCGAACGACCTAGCATGGAGCTCCCGGGCAGACTCTGGGGGCCATGGATTCTGGGCTTCTGGGGAGGCTGCAGGGTTCAGGTGTTTGCTGCGATCTTCCTGCTGCTGTTGTCTCTGGCAGACTCCCGGTCCAGGGCTGAGAAAGACTTCGGTCTGGTGAGTCACCCCTCGCATAGCCCCATCCCCGACTCGCGCAGGTGGTAGACACCTAGTGTCTCCCGGAACGCGGGCGACTAAGCCGCCTTTCCGCAACAGGACCCTTTTCCTTCTCCCAGACCTGGATTCCTCCGACTGCTCCCAACCCCTCTCCCTCTCCGGGTCCCAGTCTTCCTCCTCATTCGAGTCCCTTCCTCTTTTGGGGCCCCCTTCGGTCCCTGAAGGCTCCTCCTCTCGTCCCCTGCTCCGAGCTGCCAGCTTTGCTCGAAACTCTCTTTTGGGTTCCTATTTCTTGTTCTGGGATCCCAGACCCTATTAGATCCTCCCTCTCCCATCAGGACCTGAGTTTGTCTTTGTTGACCCTTCCTCTTCCCGTAACAGGTGCAGCCGCTGGTGACCATGGAGCAACTGCTGTGGGTGAGCGGGAGACAGATCGGCTCAGTGGACACCTTCCGCATCCCACTCATCACAGCCACTCCTCGGGGCACTCTCCTCGCCTTTGCTGAGGCGAGGAAAATGTCCTCATCCGATGAGGGGGCCAAGTTTATCGCCCTGCGGAGGTCCATGGACCAGGGTATAAAGTTGCCTGGGTGAAACAGCCGGTACTGGGTTGGATGGGTAGGCAGCCCAATGGGCCCAAGGACATTGAGGACAGGGGAACTTAGGGGGCTGGATGCCTGGGTCCCTGAAGGGTAGGGGGAACGTGAGAAGGGAAAGTGTCTAGGACAGTGCTCTGCTCTGGAAATTGGGATCACCAAGGATTTGGACATTCACTCAGGAAACATTTACTGAGTACCTACTATATACCTATACCAGGCACTATTTTAGTTTTTTTGTTTGTTTGTTTGTTTGTTTGTTTTTTTTGAGATGGAGTTTTGCTCTTGTTACCCAGGCTGGAGTGCAATGGCGCGATTTCGGCTCACCGCAACCTCCGCCTCCTGGGTTCAAGCAATTCTCATACCTCAGCCTTCCGAGTAGCTGGGACTACAGGCGTGCGCCACCATGCCCAGCTAATTTTTGTATTTTTAGTAGAGACGGGGTTTCACCATGTTGACCAGGATGGTCTCGATCTCTTGACCTCGTGATCCACCTGC